ACCCTTGTAATTATGGTACCATTCAGAATAGTGTCACGCCATTGTAAACAAAGTCAATCAGAATGGTTTAATGTAAAATGTGCCGTTTCAGAAAAACAGTGGTGGTCATAGGAACCAGATATGTGAAGTACTTAATTCATCTAACAGCTAAATCACAAAACATGAAGCCCAAAGTACTTTATTAGAGTCAAAATATTACACAAAATGAAATCAGTTCCACTGCAAACTGTGTAAGACTACGCTGAAAAACAGATTGTGTAGGTTCTGAGAACAGCAATAGGAAAAGGCCATTAAACTGACATCTAAAGCATCCAATCACAGTCCATTTAGCTCAATGTGCACAATGAATACAAACTTGGAGTACTGGTTTAGCTTACTACCTATGGTTTCAAACACAGTTATGAATAACACTTTAGCAGTATTTTATCGTTATAGTGACATTTTGTTATCCTGATAATATGGTTTTCTGGAAATATTGTAGAAATTGTCAGTAATTACGCGCATATTTCATTACAAAGAGAGCATAATTAGTCCTGTTTAATTGAATTAAGTACAGTGTGTTGAATGCTGAATAAACATCATTGAATTACTGGTTTTTAAAAATTAGAGGTACTACTTGTGTGTCAAAATATTGTGATACATATTGTGCATTTTGAAAATGTGTTTAAATATTGTGGTATGATACTTTTGCTGTATCGCTCACCCCATTGCATACATACCATCTACTGTTCTACAGGGGAATGGCATGACTAGACTGCCATTTCAGACAGAACCCTTTCAGTTTCTCTTAGCCCTCCAATCACTTTTTTTAAAGATACCATGACAGAGTAAAGAGTAATTTCTACCCATCTTAAACCACAGATAAACTGCTTAATAAAATAAATCGACAGCTTTGGATTTGTGTGTGGTAAACCTGGGTGGTTTCCAGAGACACCCTGGTTTTCCTTTGTCTGCTAAAAGGTCAGTCATTTCATTTTCAATACATTTGTAGTTGGTAATCTTAAACAGGTGATGCATTTATGTTTGGATATACAAAGAGCATCCAGGAAAGGCCAAGTCCTTTATGAGCAAGAATGGATCAAGACTCACCACTTTGCCAGAAATGCAGAGATTGCAAGGATTTTAGGTATTTCACTCTCTACAGTACAAACTATCATTAAAAGATTCAGGGAATCCACAGAAATCTCCAGGCACAGAGGTAAAGGCTGAAAACGACAAATGAGGGGTGTGGGGATACAACATGACAGACAAACCATTGTCTATGAACACAGACCATCACTGCATCCACAAATGCAATCACTTCAAACAGTGGAAGTCAAATGACAAAGTCCAGAAACGCTGCCGACTTCTCTGGGCTAAAACTCATCTGAAATGGACTGATGCACATTGGAAATGTGTTTTGTGGTCTGACGAGTTAAATTTTCAGATTGTTTATGGAAATAATGGATGTCATGTTCTCTGGGCCAAAGAAGAAAAGGTGTGTATGGTATGGGGGGTATTAGTGGGTAAGCACTTGTGATCTTCCAGTGGTTAAGGCCAAGGCTTGAACATTTTACTCATTGAGTGAGTGTTTACTGGTGTTTAATGAGTGATCTTTAATTTGGAACCTATAGTGTATGCTCCTGAGAATACTCCATTAGGCAAAAACGTACTGTTATGATGTAAATAAGTAAATCAAATCAATAAATAAATCAATGGTATAATGGTGCATGTATCAGTCTACTGTAATGCGGACCAGACTTAAAAATCCATCCGTATTAATTCTACGCTGGAATCTTGCCAGGGTTACCCTTCAGTCATCCATCCATAGATAGAAATAAAGGATGTACAGTAAACTTTTTCGTAAACAATAGAGTTACATAATTTACTCCCACCAAGGTTACCAGACATGCAGCTGACATGCGGCGATATTTGGGACCTCTCATGTGATACTGATCGGCTCTTTCCTCTGGCGACCCGGCGGGGGGGGGGATTCAAGGTCAGTGGAACTGTCCTGAGACAGCCTGAGTTTTTGGCCCACGTCTGACTGGCTCCCTGTTCCATTGCTGGACTCGTGACAACAAGCAACTCTTTTTTCTTTTTTAATTTGCTGCAAGCTTCTCTCCCAGATCTCATGGATGTATGACAAAAACAGTAGATAAGTTGCTGACATTGTCAGGTTTTGAAGTTAAATTCAGCAGCTTTTCATGTGCAACTTGTAATTACATTAGATAACATTTGATGAAGTTTTGGGTGCCTGAGAAAATCAGACTCAGAAAAACACCAATATTACAATAACTACAAATAATATTAATACAGTAAGTAGTGTGTAAGACCTGCACAGGGATGTATAATGTATTTGACAGATTATCAGTATATGATACATGAACATGTAGCAGTGGCCTACAATTGTAGTTCTGGTTAGAAACTGAAAGACTGAAAGACTAGACTGGAGTGCTTTTCCAGAAACTTCTGATGGTGAAAAAACTGGACTAAGATGGAATAATCAGTGTTTAATTTGTGCACACCTGACAAAAAGGTTAACTGGCCTATTATTGTGTTTGGTGTAAAGCAGAAAGCCGGTGTGCTTTCACAGCACTTATCTCATCCTGGTGTCCAGTAAATGTGACAGACTCTGAGTCAACCCTCAGCTCGTGCAAGTACAGGGACATGATGTCACAAACAGGAAGCCGTCTCTCATACTGCAAAATCCGATAATGCAAAAAGAGCACATGTGCTATGGACATTAGTATAATGCACCAGCCATGTTAATGGAGGAATGCCCCGCCCCCCCCTTAGAACAATATACTATAAAGCCACACCACGTCTGTGCATGAGTTTAACAGGATGGTGATGTATAAAGCCAGTTAACTGACCCCAACAAGTTTCTGCAGGAATTAATGCCAGGAACGCCATCATCCAGATTAAATTTCAATATTAACAAGACTATAAGCTTTCAGTAAATGTGTTGAGATCAGAGAGCACCTTTAATTTATTTAAAATCTAGTCAAAATCCCTATTAAGTATAAAAGTTAGTCATTTTTCAAGAGATATATTTGAGCATATTAGATAAAAGGTAATCCACTTGTACAACCCCTATTCCAAAAAAGTTGGGACGCTGTGTAACATGTAAATAAAATGTAAATAAAAACAGAATACAACAATTTACAAATCTCACAGACCCATATTTTATTCACAATAGAACACAGAACACGTATCAGACGTTGAAAGTGAGACATTTTACCATTTCATGAAAAACTTTATTTAGAACTCATTTATTTAGGACTTGATGGCATCAACGCATCTCAAAAAAGTTGGGACAGGGCCGAGTCTACCATTGTGTAGCGTCCCCTCTTCTTTAACAACAGTCTGTAAACGTCTGGGAAGTGAGGAGACCAGTTGCTGGAGTTTTAGGAGAGGAATGTTGTCCCATTCTTGTCCGATGTGGGATTCTAGCTGCTCAACAGTCCTGGGTCTTCTTTGGGTCTTCTTTGCCGGATTTTCGTTTCATGATGTGCCAAATGTTTTCTATTGGTGAAAGGTCTGGACTGCAGGTCAGTTCAGCACCCGGACTCTTCTTCTGCAAAGCCATGCTGTTGTGATGGATGCAGTGTGTGGTTTAGCATCGTCTTGCTGAAATATGCAAGGCCTTCCCTGAAAGAGACGCTGTCTGGATGGGAGCATATGTTGTTCTAAAACCTCTATATACTGTTCAGCTTTGATAGAGCCTTTCCAGATGTGTAAGCTGCCCACATTATAGGCACTAATGCAGACCCAGACCATCAGAGCTGCAGGCTTTTGAACTGTGCGCTGATAACAAGCTGGATGGTCCCTCTCCTCTCGAGTCCGCAGGACACGGCGTCTGTGGTTTCCAAAAAGAATTTCAAATTTTGATTCTTCTGACCTCAGAACAGTTTAACTTGCGTTTGTGGATTGGACGGCGAACTGTGTTCACAGACAGTGATTTCTGGAAGTGTTCCTGAGTCCATGCAGTGATTTCCAGTACAGAATCATGCCTGTTTTTAATGCAGTGCTGCCTGAGGGCCTGAAGATCATGAACATCCAATTGACTATCAGCCTTGTTCCTTGTGAACAGGGATTTCTCCAGATTCTCTGAATCTTTTGATGATATTATGTACTGTAGATGGTGGGATTTCCAAAGTCTTCACAATTTTACGTTGAAGAACATTTTTCTGAAATTGTTCCACAATTGTTAGACAGATTGGTGAACCTCTGCCCATCTCTGCTTCTGAGAGATGCTGCCTCTCTAAAATGCTCTTTTTATACCCCGTCTCTCTCTGAGATTTGCAAATCATTGCATTCTGTTTTTATTTATATTTTACAGAGCGTCCCAACTTTTTGAGAATTGGGGTTGTATAAGGAAATGAAAGCCAAAGGAAAACATCGTAAAATATTAAATGCTAAAAGATATTAAAAGATAAAAATATGACTCATAACAACCATGCAAGAGCTGGTCGACCCCAAAACTGCCCCCATCAGATAAACAGCACTTAAAGCTTTCATCTCTGAGAGAGAGGAGAAAATCAAGCTGCTTCAGATCTGAAAACATCCACAGGTGTTTCTGTCCATCCTTCCACTGTGAGAAGACGACTCAGCGCTGTGGGTCTGAAAGGATGTGTAGCTGTTCAAGAAGCTGTTACTGAGAAAAGAAAGTATAAAAAAAAGAATATTTCCTCTAGAAAATGCAACCAACTTCTAAGACTGTAATTAGACGTCTTTGCCAGAGCAGCCCAGACGCTGCAGACTTAGATTTACAACCTTCTTGCTCTTACGATTCCAGCAATGAGGAAAACATGTCTCGCCAACATTCTTCTAAGTGGATTCTGACCACTCTGGAGTTATTTTTCCAGGCTGTCCCCAAACTGGCAGAGCCTCCGACAATAGAAACTGTATACTGTGGAAACCATATGTTAAATTACCTTTAGGCAATGAGACGTCGGCGCAGAACAAAGAAAGGCTGCATCTGAAAAGCACCCAAACAAGACAGGAGACCACAGAAAGCTCTTTAAATGGGTTAAGTTTTTATTATAGTTGTTTGAGGCCAACCTCCCCATGACAGCACAATGTTTCATCACTTAGATATTCAGCATTGGTAAAACATAAATGGAACATCTGTTGGTAGATCATGTTTTTTTTCTACGCGACAACCACGTGAATACAGAAACACTTTACAATATGTCTGTAAACACAAATATATATCCTCACTCGTGCGCAGGCCGAGGCCACACATACATATGCAACGCACTCACTCACTCACACAGACAGAATGAACATGAAGAGCATAAATCAGTGTTTTTTTGAGCCTTCTTGTTCACATGGTTGGCTCTCTGGGTGACATAGCAGATCACACTGGTGTACTGAGGCATTTATCGGACTTTTTAACATGGATGACTGTGAGGGTGGTAAAGCACAAAAAAAGAAGAGAAACATCAGAAACTGAAACAGTCGCACTGCTCTGATCAACTCTCTTACAGGCTTGTGGCAGGGATCACCGGCAAGAATACATATTTACCTTTGATTATATTTACAAATATTTCTGACTTGTCTGAGTAAATGTGGTTCGGAGGGTCAGACGTTCCACTGACCCTCCTGTCAGTGTCTTGGTGCTTTCACATCAGCAGCTGGAGCCCATGCTACAAGCCTCAGTGCACAAAAACAAAAAGGCCCCATCACGTCAGCTCTTTGCAAAGCCCAAAACACAAATCCTGCAGGTTCTTGTGAAAGAGCACAGACTGGAACGTGGCCTGTCATCTGAGAAGCTTAACAGTTTAAGGAAACTAAACTGCAAAACAATGATATCAATCAAAGATACATATTTTAACTATACACTGCTATAGTATATATGAAACTGACTGAACACCTGTAGGTGTTCCTTAAACAGTAGTGATATTTCTAAGGTAAAACGTGATTAAGCAGTCTTGTGGGGCCTGGCGTGACCTCATAATGAGAATGAGAAATTTTAAATTAATTATGATGGTAACAAACTGAGCGTGAGCTCAAAGAAGAGGGCGATGTTGTGCTCGTCAGACTGACAACAGGCCTGTCGTTAGCCCACGGATGTAACATAAGTTAGCATAGCTGAAAAGTCCCCCGTAACACCTCCAGTTAAGCATGTAGGTGGGTGCTGTGTGTGCAGAGAGCATAAAAACAAACCCTACCTCTTACGAAGGAAAAACAGGTGTGCTAGCTAACGACAGGTAGCTTGTTTTGTTTTGCTTGTGTTATCGATTGTACATTAAAAATGCACAGACAAGAACTTTGGGCGTAGGTTTTAGTGCGCATGCACCCTTTATGGTGGATTTTGCTGCAATCCAGCACCAAAAGTTTAACAAGCTGTCCCCAGATGTGCATTATCATTATGAGATCACATCTGGCCTCAAAGACTAATGATTAATAGACGTTCATTGTGCAAAAGAGTGAGCATGAACAAAAGCAGGACAGTTCCAATAATAAAAGCATTAAATAAGTGAAATGTAATGTGTCAGTGCTGCCTCACCCCCTTTTTAAACCTTGCTGGAATTTAGTAAGTATTCTAAATACCCCCAAAACACGTTATATTGGGATTAACATTAAACAGTAGACTATTGACAAGGATACTATCTCTACAGGTCCATCCATACACTAAACACAGAGAAGTCTACCAACTCTCTGACATGACGGCTATACATCATTAACAGTCTCTTGGTCAGGCTAGAAAGGGCTTGCATTCATTACGATGCTGCCTTCACAAGAAGAATATAGTTCTACACCTACTTATAAAAGCTTTTTTTCCTCACTGTTAAAGTTTTTGTCATTTTACTGAGGATAACTATCAATAAAAGAATAATTAAGACTGAGGTTGACATTCTTCTTCTTCTTTAGTACATGCCGCAACTCTACTGACACAGATGCATATTTGATTAAATGGCATGAAAGAAGAATTCACATTTAAAACAGGTCTAATGCTTCAGCTCGTCTTAAATCTTTAGCTATGGTTGCTCAACAGAAAAGCGGAGTATCTGAAAAGTTTGACAGCATGAAACGTTTTGATGGCATGAACATGTCGGTCCAGAATCACTCAAAACATCTGAATCATTAACAAACTTTGTAGTGAGCATGATTTGTTTGTTAAAAAAAAAAAAACAAAAACAAACTAAAACAAAACCATACACATGCCAAAAGAGCTAGCATACATGTTGCGATCCACTCCTTGTCCTAGGCATAGCCTCAGAATTCAGCAGTCAATGCATTTCGTTACTGTAATCATGTCTTTAATTCTCCATACGATTTCCAGAAGGTAAATTCCTACCAGCCACTTTCCCTAAACGTGACCCAGCTCCCAGCCGCCTATATCCTGCCCCGCATTATTCTGGTATTTTTCTCTTGGTTGGTGGCACCAGATGGGCCGGAAGCTCACTAGGAAGCTCGTGCCCTTCTAGTTTGACCTTAATGAGGTGGTTGGCCAGGGCGAACTCTTCATCGTCCAGCATGCCGTCCTTGTCGATGTCAGCCAGCTTCCAGATTTTGCCTAGTACAGTGTTGGGAAGCTTGGACTTGACCATTTCCTTCTTGGCGTTGGCGCCGGTCACCTTGCCGTTGACAGGGGAGAGGGTGTAGAAGATCTCATCGTACATGGGCTTGTCGCGGGCCACCACCCATTCTACCTCGTCAATGCCCTCACCTGCGCCTTCGCCGTAGCCGTGGCCGAACGGCCCGTTCATGGTGCCCTCAAAGGCTCCGCCCTTCACCACCTGGTTGGGCCGCTGAGTCTCCTCCTGCCGCACCAGCACCATCAGCTGGGCGATGTCATGGGCCAGCATGTCGTCCACGGTGTCCAGCAGCTTCATCTTCAGGGGCTGGAACTTGTTCAGGTCGTGAGCCTGGAGCTGCTCCTGGTCATGGAGAAGCAGGTGAAGGTTAGAACAGGGATGAAATGTGTAATTTAACTCTGCATGAAACCTTAGACAGGAACAAGTGTTCATGTTATGTTCTTGTAGTTAAATAACCCCAATTACAGAATAAAGATGATTAAATCTATCTTGGAGACAAGAAACACAATACACATACGGAGCAGGGTGTTGATTTTCATTATAAACATAAATGTCCACTGCAGATTTTAAAGTCAGAAGACTGAAGCTGCTTATCATGTCATTGTATCCCACCAATGCCTGACTCTGATGTGCTTTCTAAGTTGAAGCACCCACAGCCAAACTTTAAATAAATAAGGCTTATTTTAGTTTAAGAATGCCCCAAAAAAGATATGACCATGTAACTTAGGCTCTGTGGTCTATTAGTGTCTGGAAAGTACTGCTGGGCAATATGACCTCAAATCAATATCATGATTAATTGAATATTTTACCCCGATTATGACTAATGAACGGATATTTTGGATTTTTTGTGGTTTTTTTGCCCTCATAGTTCACTGACAAGGTTTATACTGCAAACATTTTCTGCATATCTTAATGTAAATCGTCTCAACAGCCAGATTGGAATTCACGAGGCTTTAACATCAATCCAACTCGACATTCGTCATAATTTAGCTCTGCTGAGACTCAAACATTTGGGCTGATATTTCTGTACAAAAATTATTAGAGACTCATCCAAAACCCTCCTTGTTTGAAGAGATTTCTAAAGAAATGTCTGAACGCGGCCGCAGGAGAACGAGGCTGCAGCGTCAAAGAACAGTTAAAAGTCTGAAAGCAGTCGAAATAACCAACATGGGCAAGATTACTTTTCGATTAATCGCCCAGTCCTACTGAATAGGTGGGTCTACTGTGCTTTATAAGGAATCCCCAACCCAATATACTCTATACCTAAAGTATCTAAAAAAGATTTAAAAAAGAACACAAGTTAAACTTAATAAAATGCACTATAAGCCAGTACCCCACTTGCTCCAGCTTATCATCTTCAGAAGTCTTTGATTGGCTGAATTGGATGCACTGGTTTTAGGTAAGAGGGAGTCAGCATGACCTAAACTCTGCAGGAGAGTAGATCATCAAGAGGAGGGCTGGTGCCCACTACAGTAGAGCAAGACCGCATTTAAAAAGAAATCTGTTTGCAACACAACACACTGGATATACGACTCTCTGGATGAGTGTGATGACTTTACTCTGCTCAGTCACAGGCAAATCAAAGTCAAGAACAAAACCACAGACAGTATTTCGCCGTTTTAGGTGGGTAAACCAGTCTGCTCAGAGTTGTGTATAAGCCGCAGACCTGTATCTATGCACCACTACACTAGTGCTGGGGTCACTTTCACACAAACATCTCACATAAGTTCTTAACATACCTGGTTATGTCATTTAAAGTACAAACGGATGCAGATCCCAGAACCAAATATACGTAAATACTTCTGAAAAATATCGAAAGCATATTTACCTGCATTTTTTTGAGGTTGGGGAAATCTCCAGGAGAAATCTGATGCTCCCTCTCGATGCGGCTGTAGATCTCTCCCAGACTGTTAATCAGTTCTTTCTTCTTGTTCTCTTTGCCGAAGACCGAGGGCATCTCCTTCTTCAAGGAACTGATGATGTAAGCATGTACCTTTTGAGAATGGAAATGAAAAATAAATGAATTCATCGGATAAAGGCTATCCGGCAACATTTTAGAACCAAAACTAAACCGTAACTGCGGAAGGTAAGTCAAGACCCTCCCTAAGATCATGCTGCAACGCTTCATTTAAACAATGAGAAGTGCATTCCTTATAAGCTGGCTGACCCACGACAAGAAACACAGCTCTCAGTGTTCAGTGGGTAAAATGAAATCATTCAGTATGAGGTGACTAAGACTGATACTGAAAAACAGCTACTACGTGAAGAGAATCTGCCGTCCGGCTAAAGGAAACATGATCTTATATTTGATGACAGGAGGGGAAGGACACTCCTGGGATCAGGACACGCTGCTGGGGGAAGCCAAAGGTTAACTTGACGTTCTCTTTCAAGGGAACCAGCTGCCTCTGAGTTGCTGCGGTTAGTCTGGCAGGTGAATGGTGCCAAGGGCCCTGAGGGCTTCATCCAGCAGAGGGGGCATCTCAAGGACAGTTTGTTATGGAGGTTAATGGAGGTTTTCATGCATATAGGAAGTGACATCTCAGTAGTTTCCCTTTCAAATGACAGCTTTAGGTTTGACCACCTCCGGATTTGTCTGGGTCGTCCAGTCAGAGAAACAGGCTCTCTTGTCTGCTGTACTGTCTTATATAATGATCTTCACCAAGACAGCTGAGAGAGTTCATCTCCCAGATTAGATTTGAGGAAAACGAACCAGTGGAGAGTGGGCAGCTACTGAAAAGGCCTTTTGTGCAAGAACCTCTGCATTGCCCTTGATCCTCTGTACTGCCGAGCACATCATTTACTGTGCCGTCACTTTATGGAGGGGAAAAAAGGATGAAAATCAGCCTCATTTCTTTTAGAGGGCAAATATAGTCGATCTTAAGAGTTCAAACACTCAGGTAATAACTGCTTCTTTCCGTCAATGTGCTGCTCAACATTGGTCTGCAAATGGCACAGAGTTGTGTCGACTCAAAAGCATTGTGTTAATACTGAAGTCCGATCTGGGTCTGTAACTCAAATCTGAGTAACTGACCTGGGGCTGAAAGGTTAATCGTTTTTATATCAAAATCACAGTTTAAAAGAATGCAATGTTCAATTCACAAGAGCTGCAAATTTTAATATAGCCTAAATTCTCAACAACCTAACATGTTCTAATATGTTTTAATTAAAGAAACTGAACCTAATAACATCCTCTTCAGGTAACAAATGGAAAAATGGCTTTTTTTCTGCCAACTTTCGTGAACAATTTCTGTTAATTTGCAGAGTAACACGCATGCTAAGCTACTGCAGCAGAATACGGCTACTAGAACAGCTCTACAACATATCAGACAGTTTATTAGGTAGATGCGGAATATAAGTTTGATAATTTGACACAGCAAGTTATTAACTTACTGCACAGTCCAAACAATTCAGATGAGTAAGCTACCATAGTGCAGGCATGTTCTATAGCTGTAGTCAAGTTCCCTGCAGACACATCATGATTAGCATTTGTTAGTCAAAATTAAGCTACAACAAATTGCCCCGCAAACTCTGTTCTCACTTCGGTTGTACTGGGAAAGCCTGTGTTTTCACTGCAAAGAAGTTTGAGAAGTAAACCATTTTAAGAAACACAGTTTTCAGTAGAGGGAGATCATTCATGGTGAACCAAAGCTGAAGGGATGGGGAATAAATGATGAATATCTTACAACACAGCTACTGCTTATAGCCGTTTTAATGTGTCCAGGTGTATCCTATTCTGGTTTTGCCCAAGGAGGGCCGCAAACTATTAGCTCCCTTGCTTAGTTTAATACTTGTGTCTTTTTTTGGAAGTAAAAAACATGGGAGATCTTATATTCTCAGAGTGTTTTAAAAATGTGTCAGGTTTAAAATGAAGCTTCTGCTACGTTAAAAACTATGAATAGGCCTAAATGTTTAGCCCTTGCGCTGAGAGACTGAGTTTGAATCCTGATGATGTTGCAGTTAATGAAGTCACTCTTTCTCAGTGGGTTATCAGCAATTTTTGTCAGTGTTGATAAATAAATCTGTCAAGCCACTCGTGAGGCCTGTGCGGCATTTGAATCAGGCAGTGGGTGGTTGGCAAAGAGCAGTAGTGCCCAAGCCTGGTCCTGGAGATCTACCACCCTGGAGAGATCAGATCCAACACGACTGCCTCTAATAATCAGATGCCCTTGAAGACCTTCATTACCTGGATCACATGTGTCTGATTACAGCTGGAGCTAAACTGTTCAGGGTGGTGGATCTCTAGGACCAGGACTGAGCATCCCTGGCCAAGAGACCCCTCTAACTAGTGTCAATACTTATTCAGTGTAAGTGGGTTCGGCCGCCGCTTCATTAGAAATAACAGAAGTTAACGCAAGTAGATCATAGTGCATTAGCTGATTAGCTGTATGACACAGTCATGCTCAGTATGATGGTTTAACACCATTAGCCGCATCAGATACAGTCATACTGTATTTATTCTGGGAGGATATGAAGGACAAATCAATGGCTCTCTGTTCATCCTTAGAGACATCAATAATGCAGAGGAGTACAGGGGATCAGATGATGAACAGCCGCCACTGGGCTGCGATGGTGAGATTAGACTTGCACAACAACCGCATCACAGCTAAACAGTGCATAAAACACACATTACCCTTAAATCAAACACTCACGCTCACTGAGACTTGGCACTGTCCCTGCATTAATCTGACCTAATGAGGAATTTTGAGCATTTCAGTTTTATACATTTGAAAATACATACATACTGCTGCAACGTTAGACTTCATTTATCGTATTTGTGCTAAATGACATCACAATACAATTTTCTGAGTCTGAGTATCGTCAGTACTTCTAGAATACTGAACATTTGCATAGTTAGTCCTGCAATGCATGTGTGAAATGTATGTTTTTTAAGGTATTTTTAAAGGGCCCATTTATTCCCCAGTCCATAATTTACATACATACAAACTAAGCTAGAAAAACAGGCCGTTTCTGTGATGTCACAAAACCAATTCATGTATACATATCAGTTTATTCAGACTACAGCAGTTTAGCCCTGCCCACTCACAGTGACCTTATAAACTTTAATGCAACTTCAGTTACATGAAGCAAATCAAAAGCAATCAAATTTCATGCTAGTTAGCCATTTTAGTAGCTTATGTTTTGATACACTGCATTTTTTTCCTCATCTGTGAAGTGTAGTTTACAAATTTCCCATTGATCTTGTGACGTTTTGTCGCCATTTTGTTTGGCTATTTCATGAAACTTATTATACAAAGTTGAGATGCTTGCAACTGAGTTTCAAGCAAGTTGCAGGATGCTGTACATTATACAAATCAGGAAATGGGTGACTGGCAAAGAGCAGGAGTGCCCAATCCTGGTCCTGGAGATCTACCACACCTGTCTCTAATAATCAGATGCCCTTGAAGACCTTTATAACCTGGATCACATGTGTTTGATTCGGGCTGGAGCTAAACTCTTCAGGGTGGTGGATCTCCAGATGCTTGCAACTGAGTTCCAAGCGAGTTGCAGGATGCTGTACATTACGCAAATAAAAAGCAATTCAGCTTCATGCAGGTTTCAAGCAACTAACATACAGAGTCAAGCCAGCCTAAAGAGGGTTTCCAGCATAATACAGGGTAGCCAATCAGAACAGAACTCATTTACATATATCAATCTTAAAGACACAGTAGCAAAAACAGCCTGTTTAATTCTAGGCGATGAAGAGAGATTCGGAAATGGTCACATTACAATGAATAACAAGTGTTTTTGGTAAATAAACCCACACAAACATCTCAAGTGGACCTCAGGGGGAAAAAGAGAAAAGTGTATGATATGGGCTCTTTAAAGATGGCACTACTGGTGCATTTTATCTGGTCCAATTTACACAATATGTATCACATTATTTTGCTTATCACAAAAAATGTCAAATATGGTGATTTTTTTATTGTCCACCCCTGCAGGCTAAATCATTTCCTTTTAACAATAACCATTTCGCAGCATAGCTGGAGTGTCGTGCCTTAAACGTATTAGCATGTATAACACTGTTAATATTTTCTAGCATTAACTGTGCTGTCTTGACCTTGTGAGACATTCCAGTGTAGCTGGAAAAACACTTTGAATAAGGCACTCAAGATCACTTCAGTGTTATTTGCACAGTCGCAAAGAAACCGAAAGCCTTGTCTAAGCTTTAAGAGAGAGCAGTGACCTGAGATGTATAGACTTTGTTCAACTTCCAGGCACAGATTTTTATTATTGTACTCTAAATTAACTGAGGCCTGAAAGCAGAGCACAACGTTCAGAGAACACAGGTTAGGCCACCAAAATAAGGCACCTAATGTTCTCTTGGGAGAGTTACATGAAGTCGGGGACTGCAGGTATTATTCCTGCATTTGTGAGTGAACCACACTGATGTGCATCCAAGCAGACACTCAATTATGTAGTCAAGTCCACAAAGTTCTTTCAGAGGCTATTCTTTCACAGTGAATGATCTCCATTCTTCATGGTCCTGAATCACGAGATGTATCACATATCACTTCCATCTACTCACCATTAGTTAACAGCACTCAAAAGGCTGCTTTCACTCTCCTACCACTGAGCGCTGAGACTCGATACCACAGGTTTAAAGGTGGTTTTTAACATCTTTTCTGCAATGGACAGATTTTTAAAAATAACTAGGAAAGGGGGTTGTTTTTTGATTTCCTTCAGTTCTGTATTATTGTGATAAAGAGCTGCTTGATTAACAGGAAACAAATAAAAAATTGATCACAAAAAAGATAGAATGGAGAAGCCCAGTCGTCGCTAGCTGGTGTCTGAATACTGTGATATGCTCTGACATGGGTGTGGTCGGAGTGACCGGAGTAAGGCGGTGTGATCCATCACTGACCTACCAAGTCAGCTAATGTTTGCTGTTCGTATTAAACTGACGTGGTTGGGAAACTAAACAGTTTAGCGGTCGTCACCAGACAGTTAAAAATAAATCTGTTTTCTTTCTTAAATTATGAATATTATTACTAAAACTGCGGCTGTGCTTTTCCAGCAGGTAAAAACAGCTGATCAGACACTTTCTCCCACTGTCCCATGTTTAGTGAAATGTTCCACTGTTTGGCGAGAGTTTGTCATGTTCTGACCATAAAGGATAACACAACCACTCAGGAGCAAAAATCAGCCTGTAAACTTCAAAAAAATAAAGATTTGACATTTATGGTGATATATATCGATATCGACTGATATGAAAATTTTTACTGTGATAAAATTTTTTAGTCTATCGCCCAGCCCTAAAAACGGCCGTCAAAAACTTATTTTTATTTAACATTTCACATGCTGTACTGCAGTAAAATCTTTTTTTTATGAAACATGCAGTTGATGAGTATTTTTAAGTATTTAAGTATTGCTTTCAACATTTTCTTCTGCTCAGGTTCAGAAAGAGCTTTCAGTTTCCAGCTCAAGGTGAAATGCAGGTCAGCATTGGTGTGGGAGCGAAGCTTAAGGGGTGCTGCTCAGGGGTGGGGAGCACCCCCAGAAATGCATTTTCATGCATACATGCATGCGCCCACATGCCCACACGAAATTCCACAGCATAGAAAAAAAAAAAACTCCACCAACACACAGTATACTGACTTGTCAGCAGCTACAACCACCATGAAACTATGAACTATGAAAAAACTCAGAGCAACAAACTGCAGGAAACTGCACTGCAGGAAACAAAGAGACTCACTGACAAAAAACATCTCTTCAGATGTTCTTTTGTGTCATTTGGAAAACTCTGGAAGGTTTGCTCCCTTGGATTCTGCCCTGATGTGCACCACTGATTCTGAGCTAATCTAGAACACACTTTTGTCACTTAAAAGCAAAATAACTTCTTTAAACCCAAATTATTCCCAAATTGTTAATAAAATATTCTTTTTTACTGAATATTTAATAAAAATGGACTGAAATTTCAGCCACCTAAAATTTTCAGCCACAAATAAATTGAAAATGAATTAATTTAAAAAAATCTAACACTTACAAATACTAGGAAATTAATTCATTAAAAACAAACCATTTAAACTGTAATGAAAATGGGAAACAGTTTCGAAATCCTGATTAAAAACCCTGACAGTTCCTTAACCTGAGAAGGTCAGCTGTGTGAAACTGTTTCACGATTTCTATCAGGGACATCAGACCAGTATTCAGAAGGGGTAAAACACCCAAAACCATGTTTTCTCCATTACAGCCCTGATAGACCACTTGAAAACACAATAGCACACTTGATACACAAAACAACAGAAGCAGAAAGGAAAGTCCCTGCCAGCCCACTGCTGCCATCTGTAGCCAAAAGAACAACAGCCAAAGGGCAGAGACTGACCAAAAAATAATGAAATTCATCACTTTCCATGACCAACTGTTCTCTGTAGCTGAGCACGCTGGATTTCACAGCCACATTCTGTAATCACTTTAACATGTTTATTTTATGTTAACTGTTTTTATATCTTGTTAGCTCAGTTTTGTCATTTAAAAAAGACAGATTCTGTCAATAAATAGTGTTTTTTTTGTTTGGTGTCAGTTTTCAGCTGAAAGTGTTCAGCCAAAGATTGTCAGTTCAGCGCATTACTAATGATCAACAGGGCTGGCAAAACAAAAACAATCTTTTTTTCTTTTGATTTTATTTCCAATTTTCTCCCCAATTTAGTCGTCGCCAATTCCACCCACTAGTTAGGACTCCCCCACCGCATCTTTTCGAGCTGCCGCTCACGCAACGTCACTGGACAGCCGAACGCGCTCGGAGGAAAGCGCCAACCGCCAGATCTGTTACATCAGGCTAACAGACGCCTGCGCTGACTAGAATCGCGCTTAGTGAGTGATGGGGGGAGAAAGGCAGCCATCCCACCCACCCAGAGAGAGCGAGGCCAATTGTGCTCTCTCGGACTCCTGGCTACGGACGGCTGTAGCATCACCAGGGATCGAACTCACGATCTCCTGATGATAGGACCAACGCTTAGACGGTTGCGCCACTCAGGAGCCCAAAACAAAAACAAGCTTAAACATAATATATATTATTTCACTTTTGCGCTCCTTCAGATCTACAACCCCAAAAAAGTTGGGATGTAAATAAAAATAGAATTCAATGATGTGCAAATCATATAAACCATATTTTTAAAGGAAAATACTACAAAGACAACATATCAAATGTTGAAACTGAGAAATGTTATTGTTTTTTGAAAAATATTTGTCCATTTTGAATTTGATGCCAACAACATGTTCTAAAAAAGTTGGGACGGGGGCCTGTTTACCACTGTGTTTCATCACCTCTTCTTTATCAACACTCTGTAAGCGTTTGGGAACTGAGGAGACACTGCTGTAGTTTAGAAAGTGAAATGTTTTCTGTTCTTGTTTGATACAGGATTTCAGCTGATCATCAGTTCAGGGGCTCATTTGTTGTATTTTTCATTTCATAATGCACCAAATGTTATCAGTGGTGACAGGTCTGGACTGCAGGCAGGTCAATTTGGCACCAGGACTCTTTTAATATGGAGCAATACTGTTGTGATACATGCAGAATGCGGTTTGACGTTGTCTTGCTGAAATAATCAAGGCCCTGAAAAAGACGTCGTCTGGACGGCAGCATATGTTGCCAAAACCTACATATATTGTTCAGCATTAATGGTGCCTTCACAGATGTGCACATCACCCATGCCATGTGCACTAATGCCCCCCTATACCATCATGAATACTGGCTTTAGAACTGTGCACTGATAACAATCTGAGTGGTCTTTATTCCGGAGGACACAGTGTCCATGATTTCCAAAAAGAATTTCAAATGTTGATTCATCAGACCACAGGACACTTTTCCACTTCACCTCAGTCCATTTTAAATGAGCTCAGGGCCAGAGAAGATGGCCATGCAGTGATTTCCACTACAGAATCATGTCTGTTTTTAATGCAGTGCTGCCTGAGGGCCCAAAGATCACGGCCAGCAAATGTTTTTTGGCCTTGATATTTTACATTGAGCAACGTTATTCTTGAACTGTTGCACTATTTGATCGTGCAGTCTTTCACAGAGTGGTGAACCCCTCCTCATCTTTACTTCTGAAAGACTCAGCCTCTCTGCCAATTAACCACCAGGTGTTTTTCTTTAGCATAACAAAATTTTACCAGTCTTTTGTCGCCCCATCCCAACTGTTTTGCAACGTGTTGATGGCATCAAATTTAGAATGGGCATATATTTTTTATAAAACAATAAACTTTCTCAGTTTCAACATTTGATATGTTGCCTTTGTACCATTTTCAATTAAATGTAGGGTTTAAATGATTTGCACATCATTGCATTTTGTTTTTATTAACATTTTGCACAGCATCCCAACTTTTTTGGAAAAGGGGTTGTACCTGAAGTTAGGAAAATTTAAGGTCTATGTCAGTAGTTCCCAATCTGGGTCCAGGAGCACTTTTGCTCTGCATATTTTAGAGCGTTTCTGCTCTATCACACCCATGTCAATAGAGGAAGTGCTCAGTAATTAGCGGATTAGCTGGATCAGGTGTCTTAGAGCAAGGAAAACACTAAAATATGAAGGGTAAAGTTGACTGCAGGACTGTTTTAGGTGTTTTACCTTGGCGAGCCTGGCCCTCTTGATGAGGTCATTGAGCTTGCGGAGTGCGGCGTTGCGTGGCAGTGACTGGATATCCTTGAAGAGGTCCTGCTCCTCAGCTTCGAACAGCTTGCGGTTGTCAGGGATGAGCAGCGGGTGCGACCAGAAGGAACCGATGTAGACCCGGATCACCTCAGGCGTGTTAACGATCTTGCCCAGCGACCACATGAGGGCGCCGTAGACTCGCATCAACTGCTGCGTTTCGATCTGGTCGGCCTTGTTGAGCACCACGCGGATCTTGTCCTCGTGGTTCTTTAGGGCCTTGATCACCTCGGAGAACTCGTCTGAGATGTCTAGCTTGTGGGCATCAAAAAGGAGGATGATCCGGTCGACGCGCTCTGCGAACCACTCCAGCACTGCGGCAAAGTCATATCCTGGTGGAGGAAGAAAGGGACTGTGACATAAATGACCACTACAGCATTCATAACCAAGCATGTTTGACATGAACTGGCAGGTCAGCTGAAAGCAGCCAGCTAATTAGCGAAATGCAGGATCTCTTATAGGTGTGGTTACAAGGCGTGTGGAGCTCTGGGCTTTTATGATTATGTCTGCCAGGATGTAATCGCTTCTTCAGCTCCGTTCAAGGCCTGATTCCCTCGTCTCTCTCCAGGAATCACACCATTTTAATAACAAAGCAATTATTTTTCTCCTAATAAGTAAACACTCTCTGGAATCAGTGTTGGGGGTAACATGGCACAAAGTAACATGTTATAGTAATGTGGTTACTTTTTCCTAAAACAAAGTAATGAATTGCACTTTAAATTCTTGTAATCACATTATATTTATTGACATCATAAGATTTACGTTACTTGCATTACTCATGTGTAAGGCTGGCTTTACAGTGTGAAAATTTCACGCAACTTTAATGAAACTAAACTGAATTTAAATTTTATAACATAAAGCGACCTTCAACTCGTTTGAAACTCAGTCGCAACAGTTGCAAGCTGCTCAACTTCATAAAACAAGTTTCATGAAACTCAAAACAGAGATATGGTCGAGTGACATACTATCAAGGGTCTGACATCGCCAGATCAATGTTAGCCTTTGGTGTATTGAAAATATGCCTGCTATGTCGCCTAACTGGTGGAATAATCCAAATGCGTTGCATGCAACTTTGATACCTTTTTTAATTGCTTTATGTAACTATCAAGCTGCACAGAAATTATGTTGCATGCAACTCACAATGAAACCTGCTGAATTAAAGTTTTACTTTGCAAAGCCAACTTGAGAATGATATTAAGTACTTGTGACACATTTGAAGTGTAAATTTCCTTTATGCCGATTATTTATACCCGTTCTTATAAATAATTTGCATGTGCGTGTGCTGCGTGTGACAGCTGATCACGTGAATATGAGCAGCGCAGCGTGAGCTCAGGAAGTACCATAAACTTGACAAACAATCTGTCGAAACATCTCATCACTCAAATATGGAACAGATGGATAAAAATGCCCATGCAATAAAAAAGACACCTAACCCAACCTGAACAGGCCAGACTTGAGGTTTATGCAGAAACAGCTGTCAGTTTTAACTTTTATTACATTTTTTTTTTATTTTGAGGCAGCTATTTTTGGACTGTTTTTACTGGCAAGTTTCTTAGGTTTTCAAACTGAATTTATTGTTTTAGCTTAACTGGCTGTTTCTTGTTCAAAGGCAGGGACAATGACCGGCCTTTTAAATGATGTTCACTGTGATTGTTTTTCTATTTCCACATAAATAAATGAATGAATGAATGAATGAATAATTAATACGTAATAATAAAAACATTACAGTTTGAGAGAAGTAGTTAGCAACATGGAATGGATTACTATTTTCACTACCCACCTCAATACTGACTGTAACCATATTTGAAGTATTTAATACCATTTGGACATATAAGAATAATTTCCAAATATTTTCTATAAAGACATTTTCCACGGCAAAACGTTCATCATTCCAGCCTCGGCCTGCTTTTCTCAGTCCACAAATCAAACCTAGTGAATTCTTTTCTGCACTGATGTCTTTTCTGTTTAGGCATTTAGAAAATGTTTCTAATACACGTTAATGCTGGAGAGATATTTGGACATATTTGGCTGAAGTCTAACTGCATGACTCAGCACCAGAGGTTCTCTTCTAAAGTCCTGGCTTCAGTTTACCGGAAATTGCACAAACACACACACACACACACACACACACACACACACACACACACACACACACACACACACACACACACACACACTCTCTCTCTCTCTCTCTCTCTCTCGTTCACACACAGTGGATAATGGAATTTGCATTAAGCGGATGACTGACTGCACCTTTAACTCTCTGGCCTCTGTAGCAAATTGAGACTGTGAAAGGGAGGCAGTGATGCAGCCTGAGAAACGCTGACCCTCTAGACAAGATCTGATCTGACGCAACAATTAGTCCTCCAGTTCAGGAGAGCTGACTAGAGGCAGCACAGCAGTCACAACACAGAACATGATGCCAATTGTGCTGTTACTCTGCAACACTGAAAATGCGGATTCATCGTCTTTCACAGTGATGTGACACCCAGCTCTATTCCATTTCGGCACATCGTTATGGAAAATGGGACAATGGGATGCTGCAAGAACAGCTGGAACGAGGCAAAGCATTGTACAGCATTTCAACTGATGCATTTGCATTTTACAGCGTGCTCGTCACAGACACGCTCAGATTTACTGACCGTTTTTGCTGCTTCACTAACCAGTGAAACACCAATTTCAGTGTACTAGAACTTTGTGCCCATTTCAAACACAAACAAAAGGTGTTCTGTATGGTACAAAACCTAAAACCTTTACAAGCCTGAGTGTGCACTTTATGCACCATGTACATGAAACTATACACAAAATGCACTTTTCTTCCTTGTGCACTTACAATAAAAGTGAAGATACTGGAAATGTGGCTCATTTTATATTCAGTTTAATTTACTAAAGTTTAACAATCAGCCATATCTAGTTGTATGAAATATTTTTTGTTCACCTCTTAAAGGGGAATTCCAGTGATTTTTAAAGATTTCTTTATATTTGACTGTTTGAAATGTAAACAAAAGTCAAGAAAGATTCACTCAGTGTGTAGAGACTCTTTACAGCGGTGGTGATAGAAACTCAGGGTCACGAGGTCTACAATGCAAATGTAGCCATTTTATACACTGTTCAAAGTAAAGCTGAGCAATATTAGTGTTTATCTCTATTGTAATAAATTACGTCAAATTATGTTATAATGCGCCTTTCTGAGCTTATTGTGGATATCGTCAGTAATTAATGACACTTCTCAACTCAGAGTTTCATTACAAAGGGAACATAATTAGTCCTGTTTAAATGGACAGTATGCAGGATGTTGAATACAATTCATTGCAATCACAGTTTTTGACAGTATTTTTATTTATTTATTTATTTATTTATTTATTTACTACTTGGTCTGGTTTTTTTAATAGGATGTCAGGAAAAAATAAAGACACCAGAGATTACACGTGTCTAAGTTTCTTTGGGGGATTATTTTGTCTTATAATGCATGTGCCACTCCGTCATGAATGCTCCGCTAGCAAGGTCTGTCTCTATCACATAACACTGCTACCCAGCACCAAGCTGGCAGGATGAAGGCCAGCGCTTCCTCCGAGTCACATGACGCCACCACATCTTTTTGAACTGCTGCTACCATAACATCATTGGATAGCTCAACACACATGGACCCTCACTGGTCAGCACTGAGGGACGAGAGAGCAATGCCAATTAGAACAGAGACTACAGGGATAGAAATCAGGCCATAAAGCAAATAATTTCACAAAGTTTCATAGATTTTTAATTTTATACACTATTTCTGGTTTGAGTAGTGAAGCGACAACATGGCTTGTTAAAGTAAAGTCGATGACGAAAATAGTGTGTTCAAAAATGAAGAAAAAAAAAAAAACAGAAACCTGTTTTTATCTCCCATTTCAAGCTCAAAACTAATGTGTCTTATTTGATCAGAATCCATGAAAGATCCACCAGAGCGCAATAACGTGAAATGTTAATTATTTTTTATTTTATTTCATTTGTTTATTTTTATTAAGTTTGTCTTTGGCAAACAATTTTTTTACAGTTATTCTAAAGATTTTTAAAGCCATTTTTCTTCTAAGAACATTTTTCCGCTGAATTAATTTTAAAATTTATTTTACAGACATTAGTCTAGGGTCACACCATTTGAAAATTGCTCATTATTTTACAAAAATACATTAAAACAGTTTATCAAAACATATCTGATGTCTCTTACTCTATTTTATTTGTGGCCTGGACTAATCATTACTGATTAAGCATTTAAAAGGTAACCGCCGTCACCACTGACGAGTTTATTTATTCGGACCTTTGTAAGCAAGAAATATGATGTAAACAGACCTTTAAGTGCTGAATCACTGCACCTTTTAAACTTTGCGCCTCACAATAACAGCATGGTTGGTAAGCAGTCTTAAGCGCATTAGCTCCAGCTTAGTAAACTGAACGTTCATTTCAGATCCTCAGCGAGTGCAAATTGAAACTACGTAGCTGGACAGAGCTAAGATACATGTTCCTCTCCAGTGCTCACAAATGAGCTCAGCCAAACATTGCAAAGCTCCAACAACTGTTTTCTCAGGGAGCTCAGCTCAGCAGGGTGCCAGTGTGGGTTTCATAAACAGTGTGAACATATTTGGTATTAAACATCAGAGGCAGACGAGACTTCTCAGAGCTAGAGGACCAGCTCCGGTCTCTAGAGCCGCATTCATGAGGCAAGAGAGAAGCCCTCTAACTCCGAAAGGAAAAATACAACCCTATTCTCTCTAAGAAGAAAACAAATACTCAACTACTCCGTTTAAATGATATGATTTAAATAAGATTGAGCAACAGACAATCTGACAATGCAGATCTGTTCTTGGAAAAAGGCACCGACCAGACCCGCCTCTGCTCGGCTGCAGCCGCAGAGGCACAGTCAGTGTTTCATACTGGTTTATGCTGAGCCATGCTTTCCAGTGTAAGCACATCCAGGTTGCCAATATGGCTCATAATACTCTCTCAATGACAAAGAGATTTGGTATTCCTCAAGCTTGGCTCAGTCTACTGAATAGTGTACTACAGTTCTGGGGCTGATTTAAAGAAATTCTCCATCGATTTTCAGCCTAATTCATCTGTAGCATGTGGTAATAACTCCTCTGTACTGTTTGTACTGCAAAGAACAGAACAGAAAAATTATACTTACAGTAGAAGTGAATGGAAAGGTGCTTAAACAACTGCCCATTGACTCTTCTGCTCTGTGCCAAGTACACAGAACTGTGCTGTTCTTGTCTACAGCAAATGACCACATACTACAGATGTGGCAGATAGAAATTAGGCTGAAAAATGACACACAGTAATCAGTAAAGCAGGG